CGGCAGACCTCCAGCCCATGCACCATCCCATGCGCACACGCGTGTGCAGCACCCCTGGGCGCGCACGCTTGCATGTCCGTGCATGCCCCTGGGCGCACGCACACATGTATATGCACATACGTGCGCACGCCGGAGACAGGCACCCCCCGTATGTGTGTGCACACCCCTTGAACACGTACGTGTGCACGCGCACAGCGCTGGGGCATGTACGCACACACGCTACTGCATGTGCAGCACTGGGGCTTGCACACGCGTGTATGGTCACCCCCGGGCACTGGCAGCCATGTGCATGCACAGCGTGCACGCACATGTATGCGCACGCTTAGTTTGGGGCACACGCAGCACACACAAACACACAGCCCTGGGGCTTGCACACACGTATATGTGCATGCTTACCCCTAGGCACATGCACACATGCACGCACACACGTGATACTACGTGCGCATGCATGCGCAGCCCCCACACCTGCACGCACGGCCATGCAGGCACACCCATGCACACCCCACCTGCATGTACACAAGCACACACCAATGTGCACCCATGCACGCGTGCTTGCACGCACACTTCTGTAACCACGCAGCTGTGCACGCACATCCACGCCACACACACAGGGTTACGTGTTTATATTTGTGCACAAACCAGAAACGCCCGCACCCCTTGCAGGGGCACACCCGCAATCCCACATGCCGCACGCACAAACACGCTCACACGCGTGCCAACTCGGGCCCCAGTGCACCGGCGATGCCGACGCACAGCCCCGCTGCAACTTTGTGCCTTGCTCCCGGTCAACGCTGTAAGTTTTCCTGCAGAAAATCCTGCATGGGTTGGACTAGCTTCCCCCTGCGGCACGTGCCCGGTTCCTCCCCGAAATCCCGCCGCCTGCAGCCCACCGCAGCCGAAATGCCCTCGAGAGCCGTTTCTGCCATGCAGAGGGTTGCAGGCGATTCGGGACCAGGGTGCCCTCGCCGTGCTGGGGTGCAGGGTGCGGGGCTCGTGGGTGCTGGGAGCAGCGGCGGGGGGGAATTTGGGGTGTTGGCGTGCGTGAGCAGGGCAGGAGTCGAGGCGTCGGGGGCAAGAGGGTGGCGAGAGGCCCCAGGGCGTTCCCGCAGCGGCTGATTCAGGCTCCCTTGGCTGCTTTTCCTATTGCTGGTGCCAGGCCGACAGCAGGCACCGAGGTGTGTGACTGGATCCGTCTGCATGGGCGTGCATGGACAGATCCGGGCACGCAGGGACGGATCCATTTGCGTGGGTGTGCATGGACAGATCCATGTGCGTGGACGGATCCACGTGTGCACAAGCAGATCTGTTTGCATGGGTGTGCATGGACAGACCTGTGTGAGCTCATGTGCATGGAGGGATCCACGTGTGCATGGAAGGATCCACATGTGCACAAGCAGATCCATTTCCATGGGTGCGCACGGACAGACCTGTGTGGACTCGTGCATAGATGGATCCACGTGTGCACAAGCAGATCTGTTTGCATGAGTGTGCATGGACAGACCTGTGTGAGCTCATGTGCATGGAGGGATCCACGTCTGCACAAGCAGATCCATTTGCATGGGTGTGCACGGACAGACCTGTGTGCACACATGCGCGTGGATGGATCCACATGTGCATGGCTGCATCCACGTCTGCACAAGCAGATCCCTTTGCAAGGGAGTGCACAAACAGATCCATCTGGGGACAGAAAAACCACTGGCACTGAGGCGCTGGGCATGCAGAAAGCCCCGTCTGCTGCTTTGGGGATTTTCCTCTTTGCTGCATGTTTGTTTGCAGGCAACTGGAAACAATTAGTTGCCACGAGGTGAACTGTTACCTTGCAAAGTGTTCGTCACCCCAACAGAAGCAGAAAGCAAAATACTCTGCAAACGCAACTGGATGCAAGCAGTGGCCCCGGGCTGTGGCTGTGACAAGGGACCGGTGACAACGGGGCCGTGTGTCGGTGGCAACCACCACATCCGAGCTTCAAGGAAGCAGCGGTATCTGCTCCCCGGCGCCGGAAACGCTGACAGGGTTTCAGAAGCTGCTGAGGGTTTTTCTTGGAGCTGAGATAACCCCAAGCGAGCGGAGAACCGGGATCGGAGACCTGGTGGGGGAACGACAGGGATTTGGGGTTGGGGAAGAGCTGGGAGCCGCTCGGTGTCCTTATCACCCATGGATGGCCCTTAACCAGATAAACATCGATGCTGAGGATGATGGGGACAGAGGGGAGGAAGGACGCTGGGGTTAAAAATGAGCCGTACTCACAAAATACCCCCCCCCTCCCCCCAAAGGCCAAGCGCTTCGATGGACGGCTATAAACTCTCCAGAAGGGGTGGGCAAGGAAGGCGAGGCGGTGGGGTAGCCACCACCCCAGTTAGGGACTGTTTTGATCGTCTAGAGCTTAACGATGGTGACGATAGGGTTGAGCGTTTATGGGTGAGAACCAGGGGGAAGGCCAACAAGGCAGACATTGTGGTGGGAGTCTATAGACGACCCCACCGGGATGAAGAGGCGGACGAAATATTCTATAAGCAGCTGGGAGAAGTCTCACGATCGCTGGCCCTTGTTCTTCGGAGGGGACTTCAGCTTACCAGATGCCTGCTGGAAATACAACACAGCGGGGAGGAGACGGTCTCGGAGGCTCCTGGAGTGTGCGGAAGAGACCGTCCCAA